AAAAAAAAAAGAAAAACCAACTCTGGGTGGCACCTGTGGCTCAAAGGAGTAGGGTGATGGGACCATATGCTGGAGGTGGCAGGTTCAAACCCAGCCCCAGCCAAAAACTGCAATAAATAAATAAATAAAAATTAAAAAAAAAACCAACTCCTTGTTTCATTAATTTTCTGACTGATTTTTTTGTTTTCAATTTCATTAATTGAGGATAGACATTTCAAACAAAATAATTGGGGGTGAGGAGCTATCGAATATTCTTGCATGTTCACGTAACTAATTCATTCTGTGTGGGGTGAGTGGTCCTATGTAGGGGTGGTGTGACTCAAAGTCAAACTTAAGTGACTAGTTGCAGAAAGGGCTTAGATCAGTGGTTCTCAACCTGTGGGTCTCGACCAACAGGAACTGTATTAAAGGATTGCGGCATTAGGAAGGTTAAGAACCACTGCTTTAGATCCTGCCAAAGAAGTGGCAGTCATTAAAAGGTCTCAAAGCAGATACCTCTTAAAATAATTTGGATTTGTGTTTTGGAAAGATTATTCTGACTTCCTTCTTAAAAGTTATTCTGGCTTTGTTTTTGAAGGGTGTCAAAGTGGGTAATTTGAGTGCAGGGACTAGAAACAAGCCTTATATCTTCAATATTCACTGAAGAATGTTGAAAGGATAGAATATTGCTTATTGCTGATTGAGAATTATGTATTTGGATATACAGTAGATCCTTCATAGTTGACCAGCTCCCTACACTGGTCACTTCTTTAAATTGACCTAATTTTTATAGACCGAACATACACCACATGTACATATCAGGATAGTTGGCTTACTCTTTATGTTGACCAGTTTGTTACAGTCCCTTGGATGGTCAGCTTAACAGAGCTTCTACTGTATTTGTTGGGATTCAAAGTTAAAAGGGAGAGGAAACATTTAAAATGATAGAGCTGGCTCGGTGCCTGTGGCTCAAGTGACTAAGGCACCAGCCACATACACCTAAGGTGGCGGGTTCGATTCTAGCCCGAGCCCACCAAAACAATGATGGCTGCAACCAAAAAACAGCCAGGCGTTGTGGTGGGTGCCTGTCATCCCAGCTACTTGGGAGGCTGAGGCAGGAGACTCACTTGAGCCCAGGAGTTGGAGGTTGCTGTGAGCTGTGATACCATAGCACTCTACCCAGGGGAATAGCTTGAGGCTCTGTCTCAAAAATAAAATAAAATAAAATAAAATAAAATGATACAGTTAACTATTTCTAGCTGTATTATGTTTATCTAAGATTTTTGTGCTGGTTTTAATGGGAAAGTGAATTTTTACCATTTAAGTGTAAAATACATTTGAAGACATTTTTACGTGGTCCCACCAAAGTACGTAAAAATTGCTGTTTTCAGTGCATTCAAACCCAGCCCGGGCCAAAAAGTGGAAAAGAAAGAAGGCGGTGCCTATGGCTTAAAGGGGTAGGGCACTGGCCTCATATGCTGGAGGTGGCGGGTTCAAAAATTGCTGTTTTCAAAATAGAGTTAAAATGATTTTTGTCACTGCAAATGAAAGAATCAATAATATTTAGAAATATTTGTGCTTGGCACAGTGGCTCATGCCTATAACCTTAGGCTGAGAGGCCGAGGCAGGTAGATTGCTTGAGCTCAGGAGTTTGAAATCAGCCTGAGCAAGATTGAGACCCTGTCTCTATTAAAAATGAAAAAACCAGCCGGGCTTTGTGGCTCTTGCCTATAGTCTTAGCTACTTTGGAAAGCTGTGGCAAGAGGATCTTTTAAGCCCATGAGTTTGAGGTTTCTGTATGTTATGACCCCACTCTACCCTTAGTGACAGAGTAAGACTCTGTCTGGAGAAAAAGAAAGAAATATTTGACAGTACACAGCTATGTGGGAAGTCCTTTAAATTGTTCCTAAATCCTCTATTGCTAATATCATTCATATTTCTACAGACCAGAACTTCTGACTCACAGTACAACTGAAGTGACTCAACCAAGAACAAATACACCAGGTAATATTGTAGTGAAATTCTATAATTTTTAAGTTTTGGGTTTTTTTAATCTTTTAAAGTAATGGACCTCCTCCTTTCTCCCTTCCCTCTCCAAAAAATGTTCTATGGAAGTTCAATACAGGAGTTCCCTCACTTACCACTATGAATAGTTTGGGATAGCCAGGTGTGGTGACTCATGCATGCAATCCTGGCATTCTGGGAGCTGTTAAGTGGGTGAATTCCTTGAGCTCAAGAGTTCAAGACTGGCTCGGCGCCTATGGCTCAAGCGGCTAAGGCGCCAGCCACATACACCTAAGGTGGCAGGTTCGAATCCAGCCCGGACCCGCCAAACAACAATAATGGCTGCAACCAAAAAGTAGCCGGGCGTTGTGGCGGACGCCTGTGGTCCCAGCTACTTGGGAGGCAGAGGCAGGAGACTTACTTGAGCCCAGGAGTTGGAGGTTGCTGTGAGCAGTGAAGCCATAGCACTCTACCCAGGGGGACAGCTTGAGGCTCTGTCTCCCAAAAAAAAAAAAAAGTTCAAGACCAACCTAAGCAAGACCAAGACCCTGTCTCTGCTAAAAATAGAAAAATAAGCTGGTAATTGTGGCAGGAACTTGTAGTTCCAAACGTTCAGAGGCTTAGGCATGAGGATCCCTTGAGCCTAAAGGTTCCTGTGAGCTATGATGATGCCATAGGACTCTACCCAGAGCAACAGAATGAGACTGCATCTCAAAAAAAAAAAAGTAATAATTTGAGGATAACTCAAGCTTTGTATTTAGACTCATACTGTCAAATAAGTATATAATGTGTGCCACAAAATGCAAGCCACATAGGTAATTTTATATTACCTAGTAGCCAAATTTGTATGTTTCAACCTGTAATCATAAATTACACAGTGAAGTATTTTACATTCTTAATTTAAATCTGGTGTGTATTTTACTCTTACAACACATCTTATTTCCACCTAGCTACATTTCAGCTGCTCAGCGCTAATAACTAGCATATTAGACAATACACATTTAGACCTTAATCTTTATTCATGTGGACCCTGTTCTCAAAATGACAAATATTTATAATTGTAGCCTAGACACTGATGTTATAGCCTAATGGAAAAGAACTGAGAAGTCTTAATTGAATGAATGTGTTTTTTGACTTTTTATTCTGAGCTCTGTGTGCCTTTCTGTTTTTCCATCATTTTGATCACCAGTGCATAATGTCAGAATAAATGACCATAATTTGTAGATTGTCTACCACTTCTGGAGACTTCTTTTGCTAAACCAATTAATGGCCATACCCTACAGTGTAAAGTTTGATGCTGCCAGGAAATAAGTGTTTGGAATTGAGTATGAAGGTTGAATGTGTGTTAAGTTTATTCCCATTTGTACAGTGTAAGCTAGTATGCAACTTGGGTTTGTAGATATATCCTAAAATACTGCTCCTTAACCTCTCAGTGTACGTGGGGGCAATTATTAAAGTTTAGTCAGTATGCCAAATAGATTCTGTGCATAAGATTACAGAGAAGGTAAGTGATTGAGAAAAACTGTACTAGGGAAATAAAATTTTCCTGTGTCACAAGTCCTGCTGTGAAAAAGATAAATCAGTGCTTAGCTTAGAGGTTAACCCCTCAGCATGCTTTGATTAGTGATTAAATTAGTATTAGTGATGAACTGAAGATTGGAAGTGTCACATTGTTCGCTAAGGGAAGTAATGGAGAAAGAAGACTATTCCTGAAGGTAGATCATCAGAATGGATTTATCTGAATATGATGAATCCTATAGAAGTCCTTTATTTCGTAAGACAGACCTCAAATTCAAGATTAATGCAGTCGGCTCAACGCCTGTGGTTCAAGCAGCTAAGGCGCCAGCCACATACACCTGAGCTGGCAGGTTTGAATCCAGCCCAGGCCTGCCAAACAACAATGACACCTAGCAACCAAAAAATAACCAGGCATTGTAGTGGGCGCCTGTAGACCCAGCTACTTGGGAGATGGAGGCAGGAGAATTGCTTGAGCCCAGGAGTTGGGAGGTTGCTGTGAGCTGTGATGCCACAGCACTCTATCCAGGGTGAGAGCTTGAGGCTCTGTCTTAAAAAAAAAAAATTTAATGCAGTCTTTGTTTGTTTGTTTCTTTTTCTTTTTCTCAGAGTCTCACTATGTCACCCTTGGTGGAGTGCTATGGCACCAACAGCTCACAGCAACCTCCAACTCCTGGGCTTAAGCCATTCTCTTCCCTCAGCCTCCCAAGTAGCTGGGACTACAGGCGCCCACCACAATGCCTGGCTGTTTTTTTTTTGTTGTAGTTGTCATTGTTGTTTAGCTGGTGGGGCTGGGTTCAAACCCTCCGTAACCACTGTGCTACGGGTGCCTCACCCATCACTGTTTTTATTAGGGGCAGTTGTAATAGTGACTGCAAAACCTGAGAATGCTAGACTATTAAAGAATATGCAGATACCATGGATGTTACTCCAAGGATTGAGTCATGAAGCAATACTTGATCTGCTATCTTCAGGAACAGTGTAAAGGCATGTCATCAAAGGGGGGATCTAAACTTCCTTTTTTTTTTTTGAGACAGATACTAAAGCTGTCGCCCTGGGTAGAATGCAATGGCATCACAGCTCACAGCAACTTCCAACTCTCAGGCTTAAGCGATTCTCTTGCTTCAGCCTCCCAAGTAGCTGTGACGACAGGTGCCTGCTATAACACCCGGCTATTGTTTTCTTTTTTTGGTTGCAGCCATCATTGTTGTTTGGTGGGCCTGGACTGGATTCAAACCTGCCAGCTCAGGTGTACGTGGCTGGCACCTTAGCCATTTGAGCCACAGGCACTGAGCCAGAATCTAAACTTTTTACCCTTCATAAAAGACCTTAGGTAAAGGTTGTAGTTCTCCATTCCAGCAAAACCTTATATGGCCTGCCAGTGGAACAGGCAGTATTCTATTGATGGAATAATTGAAGTCAGGACTACATGACAAAAGATTTTTATTAGTTATTGTCATTAGAAATATCTGCTTGGCTCGGCACCTGTGGCTTAAGTGGCTAAGGCCCCAGCCACATACACCTAAGATGGTGGGTTCGAATCCAGCCCTGGCCTGCCAAACAACAATGATGGCTGCAACCAAAAAATAGCCAGGCGTGTGACATATGCCTATGGTCCCAGCTACTTGAGAGGCTGAGGCAGGAGACTTGCTTGAACCCAGGAGTTGGAGGTTGCTGTGAGCTATGATGCCACAGCACTCTACCCATATAAGATTTTGCTGGAATGGAGAACTACAACCTTTATGGTCTTTTATTAAGGGTAGAAAGTTTTGAGGCTTTGTCTCAAAAAAAGAAAGAAAGAAATGTCTGCTTGGTTGTACTTGTCCTCAGTTTGGTGAAAGGTAGGTGTCACGTATGAGAAGGGTATAGAGGTAGGCAGATAATGGAGCTTTGAAGGGGGAAGAATAGTGAGGTGCACTGTGAAGATCAGGCTGCACATTGGTGTAGCAAATGCTAGAGAAAGGAGGTGGACAGAATATGTTGAGCAGCAAGTTAACAGAAGCAGTTGACCTTATAGAAGGACGTCTTTATTAATAGTCACTCAAATTTGGTTCATACCAGAGTTTCCTCTGGCCAAATGGTTAGACTACTGTGACATCCGGAAGGAAAATGCAACTCATATTAAACCCCTGACAGGCTGGGTTTTCTTTTAAGGTAAAAGAAATGTTAAAATATTTTCTGGCTCAGCGCCTGTAGAATAGTGGTTACGGCGCCAGCCACATACACCAAGGCAGGCAGGTTCAAATCTGGCCCAGGCCTGCTAAACAACAGTGACACCTGTAACAAAAAATAGCCAGGTGTTGTGGCACGTGCCTGTAGTCCCAGCTACTTGGGAGGCTGAAGCAAGGGAATTGCTTAAGCCCAAGAGTTGGAAGGTGCTGTGAGCTATGACGTTATGGCACTCTACCCAGGGCAACATAGTGAGACTCTGTCTCAAGATAAAAAAATTTTTCTGAAGTCACCAGCCTTCAGCAATATTTTCAGAAATTTTTTTTAGCATTTTCCACTGCCTTTGTCAACAAACATTGATGAGTTCCTTGTGTAAACGATTCTTCTACTCTCTACCAGTATTTTCTCTCTCCCTCTTGATCTCTTCTTAATATCCAATAAGTCTGATTGTCCTCCATTGTCCCTAATTCTACCCCATCCTCTCCATCCATAGTTCCTCCAGTAAGCCCACAACAGCTGGCCAAGTTACATTCTACATGTCTTTTTGAGTGGCTTATCCTGTTTTTATTTATTTTTGATACATTTAAGAGGTAATGTTTATCTTACAAATAATGGATAGGAAAATAAACCAGATTGTAGATGTTTGAGTGACATTTCCCTAATTCCTTTCCCATTTATGTCTAATGGGGAAACCTGCTTTGATTAGTGAAGTTTTGCTTTATGTGGATTTCTAGGCACACATTTGTTAGCTAAATAAAGCAAGGACTGCCTGTACAGAAAGCAAGTATAAGTGAAATTACACTTTGACCTTTCATGGCTGGTTTCCCAGCCCTGACAGTTCCCTGATACACTTCCAAGGAAGAATGTGTGAGAACTACTACTTTTGAGTACTCTATTTATACTGTGAATTTAAATATGAATTCTGCCTCCCTGCAGTTCTTCTGATACTTAACAAATATAGAAAATTATTGTTTCCCTTAAGACCCAAAGCTTTGGTTTTTAAATGAAATTGAATTAAAGACAGTCATTGGAAAGACAGATATCTACATTCTAATCCCTAAATCCGATCTAATTTGTGTCAGTACTAATAAAGAACATCATTATTTCGATTTATTTTTGATTTCTAGTCAAAGAAGATTGGAATGTCAGAATTACCAAGTTACGGAAGCAAGTGGAAGAGATTTTTAATTTGAAATTTGGTAAGTAAAATACACTGGTTATGTCTTATTTTAAAAACATGACTGGCTCGGTGCCTGTGGCTCAAGCGGCTAAGGTGCCAGCCACATACACCTAAGGCGGCAGGTTCGAATCCAGCCCCGACCCGCCAAACAACAATAATCTATTGGAAAACAGAATGAATGATACCATTTAG